AAGAAGAAGAAGAAGAAGAAGAAGAAGAAGAAGAAGAAGAAGAAGAAAGAAAAAAATGATCGTTGAACTGTTGGTAGTTAGTGTAATAGTTGTTGCAATTGTTGTGGCTGCATTTGAGTGTTGGAAAGTGTATTTGAATAATACAAAATTGAAGGCATTTCATCATGAAAAGGGTTTGCCCGTCTTCGGAAGAGCGTTGGCATTGATTGGAAAAAATAATGAAGAAATTTTACAAACATTCACCGGGGATGAAGTGACATATGCATGGATTGGGCCGGTGTTAATATTCCATGTCGCGCGTCCGGAAGATTTTCAGGTGATTTTAACATCGGAAAAATGTTTGAAAAAAGCATTTCCGTATCAATTTTTGTACAATCGTACGGGTATTTTAACGTCTGAGCCACAAATTTGGAAAGAACATCGACGCGCATTAAATCCAACGTTGGGACCAAAGATGGTAAGCATCAAATCATTTTTTGCTTTTTTGAAATGAGCAAAGAACGAGCGAGATAATAAATTCTCTAACTGTCACAGACATTCAGCTGTTCATTATTTTACTTTCAATCGCACCTTCTTCATGAAATGAATTTAAATTTTTAGGTGAGCAGTTTTGTGCCGATTTTCAATGAAAAATCGCGAAAAATGGCCGATTTATTGGAGCGAAAATTGAACCAAAACGTCGATATGCAACGTGCAATGTTTAATTCAGCGATTGAAACAATAATGAGTGCATCGTTTGGCATAAATTGGCAAATGCAAAATGCACGCGGCGAATATATTCATGATTTAATTTTATACATATTGGAAGGTTTGCAATTGCGCATTCAACGTGTTTGGCTATGGAATCCAATTTATAAATTTACCGCCGAATACAAGCGAAATATTGAGAAATTTTTCGCATTTTATCGCTTCAATCGTGGCTTATTGGAAACAAAATTAATGCATTTGGCCGAAAAACTTGAGCATGGCGAAGATGAACTTGCAATTGCCAAAGAGAATAATAATCAAAATTATTTGCAAAAATGTTTACAACTACAAAAGGAACATAAATGGACCGATGAGAATGTGTGCGAAGAAATGGACACAATATTCGTTGGATCCGTTGATACATCGGCAACAACCATATGCGGTGAATTCATTTTTTTTTTCAAAACATTCGATTTAATGCTCAATTTCATTTGATTTTATTTTTTTGCACATTTCATTGTAGGCATCACATTGATGTTGGCCATTCATCCGGAATATCAGGAGCGTGTTGTCGAAGAAATGCGTGAAATATTCGAGGAACAAGATGAACCGGTGACAAATGAGCATCTAACACGAATGACCTTTTTGGAACTTGTTATCAAAGAATCGATTCGACACTTTCCAATCGCACCGTACATTGGACGTGAAACAACAGGTGATTTGGAGATTGGCGGTGGTATTATACCGAGTGGAAGTCAAGTTTTCTTGAATGTTCTTCGAATGAATAAGAATCCCCGTTTCTATGGTGAAAATGCGCATGAATTTTATCCAGAACGATTTTTACCTGAAAATTGTGCAAATTGGCATCCATATCTGTCGGTGCCATTTTCAGCCGGACCAAGTAAGTCATTCAACTCGATATGTTAAATGTGTATTTTGGCTTATTTATTTGGTGATATTTTAGGAAATTGTATTGGAAAACGATATGCGTGGGCATCACTAAAGATAGCATTGTCATATATTTTGAGACGTTTTAAATTGACAACCGATTTAAAAATGCAAGATGTGATCATAAAACCGGAATTACTTTTAAAAATTGGCAACAAAAATCCAATTCGCATCGAACGACGCGAATGGAGAACCAAACCGAATGCCGAATAATGCAGCCAAATTAGAAGAACCTGAATCCTCTGGTTTTATTTATTAACACTTTTATTTTTTATTTTCAACATATTCGGATAAAAACCGAAAGTTATGTCAACAGATATGCGATATTTTTTTTATACTCATCGATATTAAATTTTGATAAAAAAAAAAGAATTCCACAAAGAAAAACGAACCAATAAAAAGATTGTATATTTTTTTTATAAAATAAATGTATTTAAGTAAATAAAACAAATACTTTCATTAATAAAAAAGATATTCTTCTTGAGATTAGTTTTAGTGTGCGTGATAAACGGTATGTATGTCTGGCAACATCATTTTTATCAACAAACTCGTTTTTTATACATTTTCAACATGAATCTGCATCTTTGCATCTTTGCAACAACAGAAACTTCAGGTATTATGTAAGCAATGCACAGATATATAATATTCAAATTGATTATTGTTTCTTCTTTGTTTCTTTTCATCGACGTGATCATTCAGCACGTTAATTGTCTGCATGCACATATTGCTGGTTTTTTTGCTACATGCTTACCGGAAAAGAGAAAGTGTTTTTGGAAATGTTCATAAAGAAGAATCGAACGAAATATCATTCTTTGAAAAAAAAAAATCAAAACGACCTGATCGCCATCGGGCCACATATATTAATGTCTACGAACGTAATATACAGAGTATGATTCACAAACAACAAAATATATTTCATCTTATTTAATGTTCATCTCCGAAAAAATGCGTGAAAGTCGATGACGATAAACCCGGACCATTTTAATACCTTACTTGCTTGATAATGATCATTCGGAATTCGGTGTGTTGCAAAAAGTGAATTCAGTTTCTGTTGCTATTAATTACTTTATTAAACTAAAAATGAAAACCTTTTGCAAGGGAATGGCATGTATATGAGAGACATGGCGACGTGCCAAACCGTAACGCCATCTATCGGATAGAATCTGAATTACAAATTTCGTATTGTCTATCTCATATTTGTGTAATTTTGTTCATAGACATAAGGTTTATTCCGACAAATTTGTAAGGTTTTTGTTCGCCAACATTTTACATAGCATGCCATACCCATGACCTTTTGATTATTTATCATTTATCGAATTTGACAAAATTTATTTTTCATAAAAATTGAAAATAATGAATCTTATTGGTGATGAAAAAAAAAGGCATGCAAATCGACATTTGAATAGTTAGTTTGAAAACAACGCGAACCGATAGAAATGCAAGTGAGTGAAAAAGGGACAACCCTGACATTTCGTTGTCTAATGCAACGTTCATACTTGTAATGCTCATACATTCGTTTTTATTGTTTATGCATCATTCATGTCAAGAATTGTTCGGCAAAAATATTGAAAGAAAATAACTTAGAAATTAACATTTATTTTTTGGTTTGATTGAACCGAAAAAGTGCATTTGTGTTCGTTATTAGCGTGTTTTTTAAAATGTAAGTATTTTTATCACACCTTTACATTTTTTTTTGGTGAAAATAAAATCTCGGTAGCCATATGAATTCTGAATTCATAGTATAAATGCGAGAGCACAGCGTTCTATGTAGTATTTTTTTAAAGAGTGTTTGTGCGTTGCATTTTTCTCACATGTTTATGGTACACGAATACCAGACGATAGCAATATACGAAACCGATGTGTCTGTGTGAGCCTCACTTTGCAATGCGAAGAGTGTGAATGCAAAACGTAAGCAAACGTTCTCATGTGTTACTTGTCACTCGTTTCTTTTCAACAAATTCGCAAAACAGATGTTTCATTGTATTTCAATTCTACATTATTAGTGTTGTTGTTTAGCGTATCGTTAAAGCAAAACGATGCTTTGTTACAAATAGTATTTCGTTGATATTTTGGCTAATGTTTTTTTTTTGTATTTTATTTTATAGCAACGAATCATCTGAAATATCGAAAATGTCTTCGGAGGTTGCAGGGCCGAGTACATCTTGTGGACAAGATCAAGTCGACGAAGACGTCACCAGTCAAAGCAAAAGAATGAGATTGTCGACGAAAAGTATTGAAATCACTGATTTGAACAACAATTGCCTGGAGCATATTTTCAAATTTTTGAATTTGAATGATCTATTAAACGTAGCCGGTACGTGCAAGAAATTTCACTCAGCTGCAAATTATCCATTCAGCAGTAATTTTGGAAAGAAACAGTTTCATTTACGATATACATACATAGAACGTGGATCTTCCGCTTTTTCCATCGATACATTCGAAAACGATATTTACATCCGAAAATTGAAAATATATTTGAAGTGCTTACGCACCTTTGGTCACTTGATCAACAAATTATGCATCAATTACGATACGATGCCAATTCGTGATGAGATTGATTTGTATATCAATCAGTATTGTTCTGATTATGTGAAAGAAATTGTGTTCTGTTGGTCGATGAAGGGCGCTATGAAGAATTTAACAAAACCATTTCCAAATGTGTGGTCGCTTGCATTTTCCAGTTGCTATCTCGAAGATGAAATAACAAATTTCAACGAAAAATTTCCGAAAATGAAACGTCTCAAGTTCTCCGGTTCGAATACGATAGCAACACGCAAATGCATTGAAATGAATTTTTCCCATTTGGAGAATTTGTGCATCGTAGATGTTGACACACATCAAAGCGACACATTCTTTCAACCCAACAACATAGCCACTTGCATACGATTGAATCCAGCGCTACGTGAATTGGAAATTGGCGGTGAATTATTGAACATTTCATTTATACAAAGCGTTCGCAAACATTTGCAACATATTGAGTTTCTTGGCATTCAACTCCAAAGCCCGAAATCTTTGCAACTCAACACTGGCACTATTTCGTTGAATATAAAACGATTGAAAGTTGATATTCGTTCAGGGTCAATGAACCCGGCACGGATGCCAAAAATTCCATTGGTGTCGAATCAGCTCGAAGAATTTTCGATAAAAGCATGCAATCTTTGGGTGAAGGAAAGTTTAATGGACTTTATCAAAAAAACACCCGAAGTTAATTAAACTTGTAGTTGATGATGAAAGACAAAATGACATTAAATGGAGATTGCCAGAAGTGACGCAAACATTGACACAAATCGAATTGAATTTGCACAGATTCACGCCCGACGAAGCGATCGAATTCATGGCCAGGTATGCGTCACTGAAAAAATTTCAGTTCCAAATGATTGATCGGTTTGATTACGACCTGCTACTGGATCGCTTGGATAGAAAATGGAAGAGATCATCATATGATGCGATGCACGTCACTCTGACACTTATTGACCAACCAACCACGAACTAAAATCAACGCTTGATTTTATAACTGGTTGTACCATTGCCTGTTCATCGTCACCGTTCAACATTCAAATTGAATCAATGCCTCAACCATAGTCGATCGTCATCAAATACACAAAGACATAAACTTTAACAAATAAATATCATTTTATTATTTAATCCATCTCTCGATAGGCAAACCATTTCATCTATTTTTTCTGAACGAAAATCTGTTCGTTGGATTTCATTATTTATGTTTAAGCAAAAAATATAAATGCAATAAAGTTTTTTTCTGTTGTTGAATATTTTTCTTCTTTTATTTTTATTATTATTATAAATCATGCTCAATTTCAAACAAAAAATACAAATATATCAACATTAATGTTTAGAAACTCAACAACAACAATAATTTTTTAGATACTCCACCAAAAAAAATGATTTCAAAACTTACTATATATAAAAATAAGACGATTTTTTGTATAAACTTCACTGATTCGATTTGATTGCTGATCGTTATTGATAATTTTTTTCGAATGGTTTTCACTGTTTCCGCTATTGTGTGCAAATGCAAGTATAAAAATAATCTCAATCACACGCGCCAAACATTTGGGTGAATATGTGACAAAAAAATGTACGCAGAAAAAATTATTATTCCTTCATTTTGTCGTTTTTGTAAGCGATTTTTTTATTATTACAGTCGAAAGTGAATTATTTTAAAAATACACATGAACATTGTCTTGATTACCCTGACTTGTAATATGTGAATTACTTATTTCGGCACAAAAAGAATTGTCAGAATTTCATTAAATTTTTCATTTGACAGTAACATATTACCAGTAATGCTAAAGTTTTATGTTATTTAATCCCGAATAATTTAGAATGTAAAAATGCACATTAATTAACTCTCTAGTGCATAGCCCTGCCTTTAGGCATGGTGTATAAATTATTGTCTAAAATATATAATTTAAAAAAAAAAAAGATTTTATTTATGAATTAAAATACATTCAGTAGGGTTCAGGCTTTCATTTTCCGGTCATTTGACAACTGGATGTAAATCGGTTGTTTAATTTTAAACACGGTTGTACTCGAAAACAGAAATTTGACAAAAAAAATTATCATTTTCTTTGTTTATAGCAGTTTTACTGCAGTTTAAACAATGGTTTTGATTGTTCTCGAAAATTCGAAAAGAGCACAGACGATTAACTTCATCCTTTCTCGATTTAGTCTCACAATGAACTGTCAGCTGACAGTCTGCTTTATATAGCAAAGAATGAACGAAATTGTGTCGCACCACCAAAACATTGATTTCACAGATAACATAGAAACAAAGAGCACGTTTCTACGTTTCGACATAATGATAATCAATTGACTAATCCTAAAAATGCAAAAAAAATAAAACACAGAGTGGATGTCACGGCAGCAGATGTATTTTTCTGCGTCCAAATTAGTTTTTACGGAGTGGTTCAGCTGATATTGAGTAAAGAATGCTATTCTAACCCCGGTAATAATTAGAATTTACGAGAGTTTTTTTTTCAATTGCCTACTCCCAGGGGATTTAAAAAAAGAGAGACAAAAATTCAAATGAGAAAAAAATGATAACATTATAATTGTTGACTTTAAAATATCAGCTAACGTGTGAGGGCGTCAATCGTATTTGTATGAAATTATTACGGAGTTTATTATAAACAATAAACAACGAAAAAACATTGTTCACTTGATGAATCATCAATATGCTTATGATAATTTGTTGAATGAATTTCTTATCAATAGGAAAAGAAGAGAACTTTGTTTATGTGTTAACAGTGTATATAGCTGATGTGTTGTGATAAAGTCCGCATATTTTTCTATTATTTTAATATTCAAGACTTTGTCTAGTGCTAAAGAAAAGTGCCAGGGAGTAAAATAAGTTACATTTCATTCGAAACATATGAAGTTTTCTGTGATAATTGTTTTAAATAAAATACATATTATATAAATATCATTTGTTCATAATTTATTAAATTGTGTTACCGATCATTTTTTGATCATAGTTGCTTTTAACTGAACATCAATTTTATGGGTAATGATTACAATTCAGTTTTGATGTTAAGAGTTTTATATAAAAATGTGTAGACATCTGTTTCCTCATCGATTTCTTTGGATGTTGGCTTACCTTCGCCATGGCCAGCTTTGTTGTATACTCTCAACAAAATTGGATTCTTTTGGAATTGATTATTTTTTACTTTGTATTGTAGTTCAGCTGTGAACTTTAACGAATGTAATGGGCTAACGCGGTTATCATGATCGCCTGTCTGAATCAATGTTGATGGGAATTGATTTGCGGTGCTGTTCGGTGATCGAACATTATGTAACGGTGAATATTTGTATAGGTTTTCAAAGTGAATCTTTTCGTCAGGGTTGCCGAAGTCAGAAATCCATGCATGTCCAATGGTAAACTTATGATAACGCAGCATATCCAGGACACCCACTTGAGCTACCGCCGCACCAAATAATTCGGGTCTCTGTGTGATACAAGCTCCGACGAGAAGTCCACCGTTTGAAGCTCCTTTAATGGCAATCTTTTCATGTACGGTATATTTGTGTTCAACTAAATACATAGCCGCTGCCTGGAAATCATCGAATACATTTTGCTTGTTCAGTAAACGACCACCATCGTGCCATTTTTTTCCGTACTCACTACCGCCACGAATATTTGCAATTGCTACAATACCATCGAATTCATTCATAAAGAATAAGAAATGTATTCTAAACGAAGGCATCAATGGAAAATTTAAACCACCATAGCCGAATAGTACAGTCGGTCGGCTTGAGTTCAATAGATTGAGTTTTTTCTGTATAATATACATAGGAATGATTGTACCATCACGACTTGGATAAAATTTTTGTTCAATTTTAAAGTTTTTCTTGTCGAAACCCTCCAAATTTAATTTATCTTCATACAAATATTCCGGTTCAGCATTTGGTTTTGCAAAATCATAGCGATAAACTGTGCCAGGCGTTAAAAATGATATCATTTTATAGAAGATTTCTGAATACTTATAATGTCCGGTGAAGCCAACGACTTGACCGATCTCAAGAGGAAGCGTTCGAATCAAAGCGCCACTTTGTAAGGAATACACTCGCAATACGCTCTAAAAGGAATGCAAAAAGACGATTTATTTGAAATATACAAAGAAATTTTGTGATTTATCCGAGAACTCATTCACCTTTACATCATGAATATAAGATACAACGATTTTATCCTTATTTACCACCTGAGCCCATCTCAACATATCATTTTGATCTTCCTGTTAACCCAAATTTTTAGTTTATTACTTTTACATATAGAAAAGTCATGGAACCAACGACTTAAACGATTTGTTTTGTTACTAGCAATATGTTTTCATCAAAATCTTACCTCAACTAGCGTTGTCCAATGTTCTTGTGCAAAGTTTTCGAAATCGATTACAACGAGGCGATAATTTGTTGCATTTTCATTTGTACGGAACACTGCTTTCGATCCAATATTGGCTACATACTAAAATTAATGTTCAAAACAAACAAAAGGCGAATTTTTGAATAAAAAATGGCTCACATCAAGTCGATAGTGATTTTCTTACATAAAATTCAACATCTGGTTTGAAAATAAATTGTGTGAGTTGAATTTTGCCAGTAACTGGATCATTTTTCTCCAAATCTGCAAAGTATAAGTACTGATTGCTGCTAAATGAAGCTGTCACAATCAAATATTTGCCACAATATGTGATTTGAGCTGATCTGAAGTGTTTAAAGTGAAAATGTATTCTTTATCTCGAAATTGTTCAGTTCACTTTCATTTACATACATCAACCACAATGGATTCTCTGGAAATTCAGCCACAAGCACATCATTTTCTTGCGGTTCACCAACTAAATGGTAATACAATTTTTGATTTTTACTGGAATCGGTTTCAGATCCATTTCCACCTTGATCAAATCGCTAAAAAAAGTGAGTGAGCAATGCTTCTTTTCTCAAAAAAAAAAAAAAAAAAAAAAAATCAAAAACTCACACAATAGAGCAATCCTTTATTGTCGTGTGTCCAAGTTAATGATGTAAGTTTTACTTGTTGCAAGAGATCGGGATAATCTTTACCGGTTTCCACATCGCGAAATTTAATTTTAATCCAGTCGGATCCAGATTCACTGAGACCATACGCTAAAAGACTCCCATCTTCAGAAAATGCCATGCGATCCAGAGAAGCTGTTCCATCAGATGAGAGGGCGTTTGGATCCAAAAATACAGTTGGCTCATCAGTCATTGAACTTTGGCGGTATATAACACTGCAATAATATTGTAAATGTTTTACACGCTTTCTTACAATTCTGTAACAAAATGCATACGCTTGATTTTGAAGGCCAGTGTTGCGAAAGGAATAGTAATATTTTCCATAACGTTGTGGCGTTGTATATTTTGGATAATCCCACATTGAAGTTAATTTCTTATTAATTTTCTGCCATGTGTTGTCATTCTCTAAGAACAATTGAGATAATTTATTTTCATCCCCTACGAATTGTTTTGTCTCTTCAGAATTTGAATTTTCAAGCCATCGATATGGGTCTGCTACTTTGTAGCCATGTAAATCATCGACGATACTCTCATCACGACGGGCTTGCGGGTATGTTATATTATTGTGGGCTGTTGTAAGTTTTACTACAAAATTAAATCATTAGCAAAAAAAAAGTGCTTATAATTAAAAAGTGCCCAAAAAAAATTAATAAGATAGTCAATTACCAGCCAAAACTACTAAGAAACACTGTGTTAATACAAATTTCATTTTAATCGATTTCAATTGGAAGTCAAAACCGAACTGATCGAACTCCATTGATTCTCATTTTTATGTTGTTCAATTATTTGGATTACAATTGACCACTTTCTTAAATAATCCGTCAAAAAAAACTCTATAAAACATGTAATCAAATCACGTTCCTTAAAAATGATTCTATTCGAACGATTTGATAACGATAATCATAGATTTAATGGGTAATCACCGATCTTCTACAAAATAGAATCAAAAGACCAAATTCCACAAAATGATGAAAATGTTCATTGAAGGGCTTTTTTTATTATACTACTATCAAGCGATGAAGAGGAAGATAATATTAATGTAATCATTCCTGATATAAAGACTAGTATAAAAAGGCAAAAACCCCGATTATGATAACAATGCCTCAAAAACTATATTGCTTTGATGGATGTTTACAAACAGATTTGCGTGACGAACCATTCGAAATGAAGCTTATTTTTTCTGGCTGGGGTCAAATGTCAGAAAATAGTAATTTATACAATTGTACAATTTAGACGTGATTAATAAATAATAATAAATTTTTCAGGGGGTAAACCCCCTTCCGCACTACGATCCGAATGCAATGCTAGGGGGTAGACACGTGGAATCAAAACTCACAGAAATCACAAAAATCATTAAAATCGCAGAATTCAATTTTTGTGATTTCTTTGATTTCTGTCAAATGTTGTGTATATTGTACCGCACACACACTATGTGTGCGACTTCTACTACAGGCGCACACTACCACAGTGAAATTAGCTTTGTATATAAGTGTATTTTATGTCCAATATTGAGGTTTGGAATCGAGAAATCACCGAAATCGCAAGAATCAAAGATTTCATAGAAATCAAATAATTCACACTGGATTCATAGGTGTCTACCCCTAGATGCAATGGAACAGTTTTCAATTCTGAACTTGAATATCTTTTTTTTTTTTGCAATATAAATTATGAAGTTAAAAGTGGATATGAATAAAAATGATACGCTCTGACTTAATCCACATGAAGTCTCGCTTAAAAACCAACTTTAATACTCTAAATTTGAGTAAATTTGTGGGTCCAATGATTTTTATGCAAACAATATACCGCAATATTCCTTTGGATTTGATAACGGAAAAATGTGTATTTTTTTCTGTGTCTCCCTTTTCTCAAAGCGCAAGAAACATTCGACGATTTCGTTGATTCCTCCATTCAATGGTCCTTCCACCATTTTTGGTGTCAACACTTCATTTATGTTGCCCGTTTCAATGTGATTATTTTCACTTTTTTCAACGGTTGTAGCAGCTAAACGTTTGCTGACATACCGTTTTAACGCTAAAGCACAAATATTAATTAAAATTCTGTAATACAAATGATTAAAATCGATTTTATAAGCCCGTATCGTAATCACGGACCAAATAGCTATGAAAATGAATTGAAATGACTGGGAATTAATTTTTCATTATGTTTATTGAATCGTTTTGAGAATATGGTCAAATAGGACAGTTTCGAAGAATCAATCATGTACTTCAAATTTTTTGGTTAATACAATCTTGGCACGTGATGAGCTCTTTGATGAATTGTTGATAATTTGTTCATGGATAATACTTGGATGTTTGATGATGCTTGGCTCTGGACGATCTGGACCTTTCCAATCAATAGCATGATGTCGAACGATACGGGCAAACATTTTAGCCGATGCTTTTGGTGTTCGTGTTTTGTTCGGACTGGAAAAGTCAACGTGGTACAATCCAAATTGTTCACTATAAATTCATAAAAAATAAGCGAAATCGATGAATATAAGTTGCCGTATTTCAATTTATTTTTCGAATGAAACATGAAAATACTAACGAGAAACCAGCTGTCCATTCAAAGCTGTCCATCAAGCTCCATGCAATATAGCCCATAATTTTGCAACCATCCTTCTAAAAAATGAATTTATTACGTTTGCAAATTTATCATTGAAAATGTGATCGTTTTTACCATTGCATCCAAAATGGAAGCTAAGTATGAATTAAAATATGTGACACGATCCGTATCGTTTACTCCATTATTGTCGCTAACACCATTTTCGGTTATAATCACTGGCGGATTGTCGTACTCTTTATTGATCCACATCAGCAAATTGTACATGCCGGAAGGAACAGGCTATATCGAATTTTAAAAAAATAAAACACTGAACATTCGAAGTACAAAATGAAACACGAATATATCAAATTGAGAGAATGGAAAACTTACATGCAACCAAAATGATGCGGATTTTGTCCAATTTTCGTCGAACGATTCAACAACGTCCATATCATGATTGAAGCTCGGTATTGGGAAATTGGCTGAATTATTGCAATCGTTACGTGTCACTAAAACGGTTGTATAAGAATTGATGCCAAAGAAATCGGATGTGCCCCGAATTCGTTTAATCTCTTCGGGCGTGAATTTTGGTAAACGTGATCGTGGAAAACCTTGTTGTTTACTATTGGCATCAATTCGATCAATCATCACTTGAGGATAATTACCGTTCTTCGAGAAAATCGGATGAGCAAACCAACCAAGCTGTAAAAAAAAAACCAAATCGAGTGACATTAGTTTCATTTGCTTTACCATATTTTTAACTTAAATTGTAAATAAATAAACGCACCGTTTATGTAACTATCGTCGTGTTTAATTTAATTTTAAATTAACTAATTAAATGGACTGAATATATCTCAGGTGAACTGTTAGTAAAACTTTGTGAAAATTTGTCGCTTTTTTCTTCTCCTGAATGGTCGGCATTTTCTTCTTTTTCTTGTTGTTGTCGCCGACTAGTCAGTTTTCATTTCAAGTTTTATTTCAAAAGGTCGGTTGATTTTTTGTTCGCATTTAATAGATTTAAGTGAGTCCACAAATTTTGTTCACCATCAGAGTAGCTGAAGTATAAACCAACGACTAAAACAAAAACCGGCAGAAACAATTTTTTCTCTTTCTCTCTCCTTAAACAAATACTATTATTTGTTTGTTTGTTTTTTTTTACTTACATAAAATTGTAGAGCAAGTTCCGATGCCACCTTATCATCGTCCGAGTCAGTTTTGGCCTGTGCATATGACGTATCGATTGTAATTCCAATTTTTCCTATTTAAAATAAAATGATTTTGATTCATTAGGGAAATGGCATCGTATATGACAACAAAAATTTGCATTCGTTATGACCAAGTCACTCATTAGACAAAAAATCAGACATTATATTGAGATATTTTCAGCCCGATGATCCAGCTCAGCCAGATATCGTCAGGAGCTGATATTGAGTGAAAACAATGAAAGTGATTGTTATAGTGATTGTAGCAACGTAATTGTATTTATAACCATAACAATCACTTCTATTGTTTGCACTCAATTTCAGCTCCTGGCGATATATGACTAGATCTGGATGAAAATATCTCAATATAATGTCTCCAAAAACTTGATCTGTATACTTTAAATATAAAAATGACTAAAACATCTGTTAAAATGCTTGAAATTTGAATAATTCACAACTGTTCGTTTTGTGATGACCTTGACATTCTTATCATTTGGCAATGTCATACATTTTTTTCTGAGTTTTGTTTACAGTCTGCGATCATGTGAACTCGTTCACTTTGCTTAAACCCGCTCAAACAAGCTCAAAGTCGTCAAATTTTTCTTCTCTCTTAATTTGTCTGTTACATTGTGTGTCTATAATTTAAATTTTTAGTGATATGAGTTGCATTTACGGTATTTTATTTTTTATTTGAGTTTGGATCTTTCCCGATTCAAAATCTGTATTTCGTTGAAATCTTGAAATCTGCTTAGAACATTGTTGTAAAATTGAGAATTTAGTTTCAGATCGAATGGATTGCTTTAAATAATTGTTTATGTATCCAAATGGATCGGGATGTAATTAAAAACTTAGGCACAAAAAGAAGCAAATTAATAATCAAAAGCAAAGGACACGTCACAGTAATAAAGTTTATAAAATGACGTAACGTAAATAAATGTACCTTTTTGAGTTGGTTGAAAACGTTCTCGGTATAAGTGAACAATTTCAGCGTGTGCCTTTAACACATTATGTCCGCACAAGTAGCTTGGAATGCCTGGAAAATTCATAGCAGGTGCCATAATATCAACGCCATACCCTTGTTCGCATATGTGCCAAGGTTCATTGATTGTCGTCCATATCTTATCATCACAAAAGAAAAGATTATTACAAACGTTGAAGCAACTTTCGAATTAAAATGGGCAAATAATTCAAACTTAAATGAGACATTTTACTTTCATCTGTTTGATTTTTTTTAAATATGATGAAATTTTTTAATTTGCTCATTGAGCACATTAAAAATACACGTTTAAGTCACCTTAACACGATCGCCAAACTGTTCGAATAAAATCTTTGCATAATCAGTCACATAATCAATAATTACTGGATTTGTCCAGCCACCCAATTCTTGTAGACGCGCAGGTAAGTCCCAATGGTATATTGTCACCATTGGTGTAATGTTATGCCTGTTTAATTGAATGAACATAACAAAAACGATTCATCAAATTGCCTTACAATGATGAAACTCTTTTATACTTTGGATAATTAAAACGAATATGTATCAAAGAAAAGCGAGAAAAAAGTGTAATGTTTTACCTTAATAATTCATTGATCAAATTGTTGTAGTATGCGATTCCATGTTTATTAACATTGGTGACAAAACCATTTGGAAGAAGTCTTGTCCAAGAAATTGAAAATCGATAAATATCGACACCAAGCTCGCGAACCATTTCCACATCACGACGCCACTAAAATGAAAGCAAATTGTTTATCTCTCTTTCTCTCTCTCTCTCTCTCTCTCTCTCGTTCAATTAACAAATCCCTGCCAAAGCACGACAATTTGCGATGCTATTTGATTTGGCACTTTAACGCGTTGCTTTTTTACTTATTAATAAGAAAAATGTAAAGCGACGAACCCGATTGTTGTCGGTTGACACATTTTTCGAAAAAAAAAAGTTTTCTCTCCAGATATTGAGATTTTTGTATGGGAGCCATACTCAATTTTTATCCGATCGTCTTGAAAATTTCAGAAAGTTATTTTCTATCGGAAAAAATAAGGCATGCCAAATTTCATGAAATTCTGATTGTAAACAAAGAATTTCATTTTTACAAAATTCACTTTTTTTGAAAAAAAAGAAAAAAAAATTTACTTCAGATATTGGAACTTTTGTATGGGAGCTATACACATTTTCTATCCGATCATCTTGAAACTTTCAGGGAGAGAGAGTGTAATCAAACAATTGTTGGTATTCTTTCGTATGAAGTTGAAAGGATAGATGATGTTTTTGATGCTGGCTATAGAATGTGCATGAATTTTAAAATAAAAATATATTTATAATTATAAAATAATAATTTAATCCCTTGGGACTAACTATTAATACTTTTGTATTAATTATATTTAAAAATCCCAAAGTGCCAAAAATTAATACTAGCGATATAAGTGTGTAGGTACAATTACTATCAGCCATTAAAATTTAAAAAAAATATTTTGAGTTTTTGTTTTGACCTGTTGTGCGGCAAATTGAAGTGCCCCGAAATTTGATTTGCGGTACAATTAAGTACATTTTAGGTACAATTTTTTAATCCTAGTCCCAAGTTTTGAATTTCACATGACCGGACATTTGACTATACATCCCTTTGTACACATATGGAACTTACATTGTGATAGCTGTCGGATGTAACATCAGCATTACTTTTATCTTTCATTTTCTCCGGATATTGATGGGTCAAAACATCCCAAATTGATTCTCCTTTGCCATGTTTATTCCATCCACCTTCGACTTGATACGCTGATGATCCAACGCCAAATAGAAAATCTGGTGGAAACATTGGATTCAACTTCTCACACCACCTGTTGCGAAATAACAATGAAAAATTCACAAATACTGCTCAATGTTCTGTATCGCCCAGTCCAATCAGAATGAAATAAATCGCTTTCCTTATTATCTAAATCACACGTAGGTGTCATTTTGATGCTATATGACCACTTTATATGAAACTCTCGGAGACTCAGTTTGATGCACACAAAAAGTAAAAGAAAACAATTGTGTTTTTGTCTGTCTTTCTGCTGCTACATAGCACCTTTTGTGAAATTTCCTTATGATAGTAAAGTTTCGCTGAGATAAATGAGTTATCATATGAAAAAGTAATAAATTGAATTACTAGAAATTCAATAATAGATTTTGTAGACATGCTCTATATTCACACCTATATTATGATCGCATTCACATTAAAATACATAACAGATAACACATTCATATAATAATTCATGCACAATAAATCACCATCAACACAATATGTATCCACGTGCATGTCAATCATGTATTCACCACACATCATATTCATACACAATTAATATTCACGGTTAATTCGATAATCAATTAAAATACACTTTACTCTTGTTCTTACTTCCAATCAATTAACTTCAATTAATCAGAATAAACCTTAAGCCTTTTTATTATAAGTATTCTGAGCTATGAATATATTAACATATAATTAGCTAAGAATGATTAATACAGGGAGTAGTTCGTTAATAAAATGTTTAATATATTATAATTATTAGTCCAATCTATGGTTGTTTTCAACAGTTTTTCTTAAACAAATTTCTTGTGAGCAAAAATTGGTCTAAGAATTCAATTGTACTGAATTGTAAAAAAGATGCGGATTTTAATGATGGTGAGACTGCTTAATATGAATTAAATAAAGACAGCAAGATTTTGGCGATATATTATAATTATTAAAAATATTTGATTCAACAAGACCGGATTCATTTCGAACTCAATTTATCAGCGGTCGACAGACATAACAACAATATTTTTTTAGTTTCGACTGTCCCGAATGATGCTATCTGCCTTAAATGAATAATAAGTGCTATTTATTTTTTCAATGACAGCTGCTTAGATTTAATTTCTCCATTTTGTCGCCAATTAAATTCACTTTGTGAGAGTTTTTAATATTTTCGGTAAACCATAAACTCTACTTTTAGACTTATTCACTGAATATATGAATTTGAATGAAATGATTAGTATTAGCAAAAACAACAAAAAATAAAACAGGATTCCGGTTCGTTATTAGCATCAATCAGGTTGCTCAGTTTACGAAGTGATTACTTTTGAGCAGTACTTTCATATTTTTTTCGTGTTTTATGTAACATTTAGCCAGAGAATGGGACAACCAAAACTCAAAGAAAATTTGAATTTATATCGACATTTCTTGAATTTTAGTTGGACCTTTAACTATTTCGTTTTATTTTGTGGATTTAATTTTGAAATGTTGTTAACAATAAAACCTTTGTTTTTATTTGGAAATTTGTTTATTATTTTGAACGGCAACCGAATTGATATCAGTACCCTTGTATGCGGAATTATATTTTACTTACCCATTTTGTAAATATAAAACTGTCACTGAAGCAATCGCCAGACTTTGATAAAATTTCATTTTTATTTACTAACCGCTTGTTTAACTTGTTGCTACAACATGACATTTGACAATAACTTAAATTTTGTTTCAGCAAACCATCATATAGATTCAAAACGCGTCTATGACCGCTCTCGATCTCACATATACACACACAACCTGATTTAAACTTTTTCCAATTATCCCTTGTATAGAAATTAACTAAACATGTCAATTCACTGATAAATATTCTGCTCTTTACTTTGGCTTAATTATTATTGACAATTATGAGTTTATTACAATGACAGCAAATAAGAGCAAAAGTTGATTAACCATAATTCCACAAAAATTTATTTTGCAAATAAAAAATCTGTATGAAATATACACACTAGTGCATTCATTATACAAATGATTTTTTTATTTTATGAATGATGTATCGCAATAATTCAAGTGTCGAACGTTGTCGAATTTGGAACTGCCAATACCACTTCTTTCCAAGCTTTCATCATTTAGACTTTTTGGACATTTTAGGGAGTTTTTCTTCAAATTCATTTATTGAAAATTTGCTGTTTTTTACACAGAGTAACCGCGTTTTTATAAAATGAAAGAAGCTGAACATACGAATAAGATGAAAGATTAGAAGATGAAATCAAACAATAAAAAAGTGATGTAAAAACGATATAAGCAAAATTGCCGTTTATGATTTTCATGCAGGTGTGCGTATAATATTGTATTGTATAACATTAGTTCAGTTTTGTTCTGCTCGCTTTTTATATTTTCATATCAATCATAAATGACTCACTTACTGCGCCAATAGTTTTAATCAGCATTTTCTTCCTTCGTAGAGTGAGCGTACAATCTCATTGATCTCATAATCTGGTCTTATCAACTAATTATCGTATCACTTCAATTTGTCATGGAGTTTAAACAAAAAATAATGTTTGATTAGCATAGATTGAAAATTCCATTTAAATTTTTACATGTTCAAAACTCACGGTGGAATTAGCCAAATTGCCCAAGGAAGAACTCCGGATGGTAATTGGTTTACTTACCGGGCACGCCAGGGTCAATTCTCATATGAGAAATCTAAATCTCAGAGACGACCCGGACTGTAGACTGTGTGGTGGAGAAGGGGAAACCACTGCCCACCTCATAGATAGATGTCCAATGTTGGATACCATACGGGCTGACTTCACCGGCTGGAGATCCTACCCTTTGATTCATGCACCGAGTGTATTCAAATTGGTAACGTTTTTCAAACGGGCATGCGATGACAATCCATGCCTTAGAAACATTTTTGGATAAAAGACTATTCTCGTGTATTCAATACACACACGGGCGTCTTGCAATAAGTTATGAAAACTTGAGCAACGAGTAACTATATTAAAATTTACTGTTTAAATAGGACACTCCCCGTTTTAATCCAATAATCCAATAATCCAATGGCATTCATGGTCGTAATGTTGACACCAGGAGAAATTTTGAGAAAAATATCTCAAAAAAGCCGACGGCGTATAAAATGTCACTTTTAGTCGACTAAAGTGTCATTTTTTGTATTGAAATGAAGAATTTAGGACTTTCACTGATTTACCATGTCTTCAAATGTACCAGAATGTCTTTTTTTCAAACCCATTTTTCAAGGATTATAGATCTAGTATGATCAAAAAATTGAGAAAAAAGGACTGGCTAATGGGCCTATGAAAAAAGTGGCCATTGTGACTATATGCCAGAAATCTTTTTCAAATCATAAATGCCAGAGATTTTTCTACCAAAACAGCAATTTACATGATAAATTTTTTAAAAAAATGTGATTTATATCAATTTAAAAAACAAACCTCCTGAAAAAACACCCTTTATTTATAATTCATGCTATGAAACTAAACATATTAAATAAAAATATAAACATTTCTTATCCTTATTGTATGTATATAAATGTATTGGTTTTATTTGATCCCTGCACAAAATGTAACAGATATTTTTGGCGTTTGTTTAAACATTGGCTCTCAATCAGAATTTTAATTTTGGATTTTCGCTAATACAGTTCCAAAAGAACTGATAATGTATGCTGAACGTGTCTGTTGACATTTTTTGTAACAAATGAATATAGTGAAGGGCTATTTCTTATTTATTCTATACTCATTTGAAAACTCTTACACACAATCATCTTTTGTGTGTTCAGCACCATGTAACATAAGCTCTTTAGTAATTTCCACACTATATTATTACAATGAAGTAGCGTATTTCTCTTAACTCTTAGATTAACATCAACAAATGCAGACACCAGATCTTTATCTTTTTTCAAACCCTTTCTAATTCTTTATTGTATTATTTAGCACATTTTTAAAACCCTCTAAAATCGTACGTATTTATAACCAAGTTTTGATACATTTTTTTTTTAATCTGGACACTTTAATCATTAGAGTTTCATTCGAGATACTCTTTGCTCCAAACCACTTACTCCGGGTTCCACGTCTTGTGAACGTAAGTCCATTTGAGATAACTGTAACACCAAAGCACTCACTTGACTTGCAAGGTGTGTGTGGCCATTGGCTTTTGCAAACAACACTAGTGTTAAGCTTTCATCATTGCAAGCATTTGTTATAGCCTCAAATTCATCCGGTTTTACTACTTTTAGCTTTTTACTAATAACCTCTGAATCACCCGTTCTTGCACTCTCAAACAGTTTTTCTACTAATGTCAATAGGTTAATAATATCAACGTCGCTAGAAAGTTCAATAGGTGTTTTACCTTCCTTATTCTTAATGTTATAAATTGCACCATATTTCAACAAAGATTTTACAACTTCCAAACAGCCATTTTGAGCTGCAATATGAATTGATGCAGTACCTTTAATAGTGGTCTGAGTATTAATAAACTTATTTAATTCATTAGAACCAACTACTTCGCTAACATGCTTTAATATAAGTTCAACAATTTCCTTGTTACCCTTCAAAATAGCAATGTGTAATGCTGTATTACCCTTACCAGGAGTCACCTTAGTGGCATCAGCTCCTTTTTCTAATAAAAGTTCAACAATTTGTTCAAAATTATATTTAATAGCAACGCGTAATGTCGTAAAACCATCGTTGACAGCACCAAGAATTGCTCCCTTTTCTATATGCTTTTTAAGCTTGTTCACTTTGTCACTTTCGCTTAAGTTTTTATTTTCCATAGTGGTAAATAAATCTTTAGTTAGCTGTAGGATCTGAGCAACATCATTGGCACTACTTTGTGCTGCAAGATCTAATGGTGTATCACCATAATCAATAGTCCTAACATTAATTTCAGCCCCTTTATTCAATAAAGCAGTGATAACCTGTAAATGCCCTCCATACGCTGCTAAGTGCACTGGCATCCAGCCCACTTTATCCTTATAATTAACTTGAGCACCTCTGTTTAATAAAGTATTTACAACATTCACATGACCATTTTGTGATGCAAGTTGTAATGATGTAACACCTTTCTCATAATCAATAGCATCAACCGCAGCCCCCTGATTTAATAAATTATTAACAACATTCACATGACCATTTTGTGATGCAAGTTGTAATGGTGTAACACCGGAATCAATAATTCTAACATTAATTTCAGCACCTCGATTTAATAAAGCCAAGATAACGTTCAAGTGCCCTTCCTGCGCTGCTGAGTGCAATGGCGTCGAGTCCATTTTATTTTTAGAATTAACATCAGCTCCCCGATCTATTAAAGTATTAACAATATTAACTTGCCCATTTTGTGCTGCAATGTGTAATGGTGTAAACACTTTCTCATAATCAATAGCGTCAACTGCAGCCCCTTGATTTAATAAATCATTGATAACCTGTAAATGCCCTCCTCGCGCTGCAAAGTGCACTGCCATCCAGCCCATTTTATCTTTATAATTAACTTGAGCACCTCTATTTATTAAAGTATTTACAACATTCACATGACCATTTTGTGATGCAAGTTGTAATGATGTAACACCTTTCTCATAATCAATAGCATCAACCGCAGCCCCCTGATTTAATAAATTATTAACAATATTCACTTGCCCATTTTGTGCTGCAAGGTGTAATGGTGTAACACCTTTATCTTCTTCCAGTCTACCTTCATTCTGTGCTTGAAGTACTTTACTTATTAAGCTATCAGTATCTAAAATTTGCAGATCACTTAGTTTCAATATTTTTTTTTCTTCGTGAATCCTATAAAGTTCTTTCAGAGCCTTATCATAAATTCGTAGGCTAACAAGTGCTACAGCCAAGCGATACCAAATTTTAAAAATATCAAAAGGATTCACATATTTTGGGTACGCATTTCTTTTCTCATAAGTCTCTTTAACCTTTTCAAGTGCTTTGTCATAATTGCCCTGTGCCTCAAATATTTCGGCTGTAAGTAACATACCTTTAAACGTGCGTGGATGATTTGGAAGTAACTCTAGCCGTTTTTCATTAACCTCAATGCTAATTCTTAAAGCCTCTTCGTATTTTTCTAGGTACTTAAGTACAAAAGCAATATTACAATAAGTGGTTAAAGTATCTGGATGCCCTTCCCCAAGTATTTTTTTCCTTTCATCATAAACTTCCCACGCCATTTCAAGTGCTTCTTCATATTTACCCTGCCTTTGTAAAAATGCCGAAATGTTACTTTTTGTATTTAAAATACTTTCATAATCAGGATCTGGCATCTCTTCTTTTTTCTTAAGAGCGACCCTCAACATGTCCAAACTTTCATCAAGTCTGCCTAGGTTTGCTAATACTATACCTATATTATGATTTATTTTGCCATCATCTATTTTGGCCTGAGTTTTCAATTTTTCAAATATTTCTAATGCTTCGGCATGCTTGCCCTGTCTGTCCAGTATTAGTCCTATATTGATTTCAAAAAACATACACCTCCCTCGTATTAAGTTATTAATGATGTATGATTTCTTCTCTAACTCTCGATAAATATTTAATGAATCAACATCTTTACCTTGATCATATAATACAGACGCTACCTTATTCATTATTGACAGAACAGCGATATCATTGTTGCCCAATATTTTTTTAAATAATTTTAATACATTGCTCCCAAACGAGTGAGCTTCTTCAAATCTTAAATCTGCGTGTAGCTGACTAACAATTAAAGTCGGTAAACTACAAAATTCTCTCACCAAATCTTTGTATTTATCTATGTAACTCCAAATAGACAAAGCATGATCTACGTTAATTACTCGAAGATTATTGGCAAATAGGTCGATTTGTTTACTACCATCATGAAATAGCTTAACAGCTTTTTTCAGTGTATCCTTTTCTCTCTTTTGATCTCTAAGATTTATTCTTGTTACGTGCTGTACTAATCTATGCACACTTAATTCACCATTTTCTAAGTCTACCATAGAATACTTCTTTAATAACTGAACAGCAGCCCCTAATTTTCTTGTATTTTTTTCTATCTTTAAAAACATTTTACTAGGAATGTTGTATGGTAGACAATATGCTATGACATTTAGTATTTCTAAAGCATTTTTCCCAGATTTCTTGCTACCTGCTATTTTATGAATGGTGGTGTGCCAAGTTGTAAACGTTGTTTTAGTGTATTGATTATCGCTATCATCTGGAAATGGAAAGTTAAGTAATGCTTTCGCTTTCTTTTTATACTCTTCAAGATAGTCATCAATCTCAAATCCTTTATCTGAATATACGCTTTTTATTTCTTCATCGCTTTGTTTTATGTATGCAATCGCTTGTTGCAAGGCCAAAGGAAAATACTGTAATATTTCTGTTAATTCTTTAATTTGCTTTTCTTGTGAACCACTATTTATATTTAGTGCTGTGCAAATGAATCTGGCAGCTTCGTCTGAAGTAAATGGGCCCAATGATATGACTTTTCTATCTCCCCATTTCTGATTACGTGAGGTAATAAGAACATAAGGTTTGTTATCATTAGATGACGGTAAAAAATTACGTATACCTTCATCATCATTTTGCATTCCAAGCTTTTCGGCATTATCAAAAATAAAAAGGCTCTTTCTATTAGCAAAAAAAGCATATACGTCTCCAACGATAGATTTTATATCCCTTTGCTCTCCCTCTAAACACTTGACATTAATTTGTAAGTTATCCCTAGCCAATCTATAAAATGACTCAAATAGAGTCTGATAGTTTTGAGCATTTATCCAAATTATATTACCATTATATTCATCACTATGTTCACTTACATATTTTCTGACTAAACTGCTTTTCCCTGTACCCCCAAGACCAGCTATGGAAGCAACCCGCGGTATCTTAATACTTTCATCTTGTAATATCCTATGCAACTCTTGTCGCATCTCAACTCTCCCAGTAAATAAAAGTATAGGCTCTTTTACATCAAATTTAATATTAAACCTAACTATATCTTTAAGGAAATCATCATCCTTTTTTAAATACATTTTTTTCCCTTCTTTTCTCCAATAATCTAGGGCTTTATTTCTTATCTTGAGAAAACTGTCTTCAGTTTCATCTTTAGTTAACTGAAACGAAACTCTCATCTCATCTTTAATAATCTTCTGCAACTCTACTTCACTGGGTTGACCCACAAAAAATTCCAACTTACTCAAGAATTCTTTAACATTAGCTTTATCATCATCTTCAATAACCAACGAATCTCTAGGGAAATTCTTCACTTTAATATCAAATCTATAATCATCAACCGCCAGACTATCTGATTTGGCAGCAGTTTTTAAATTTTCCATAAATTGCAGAGCCTCACCACTCAAACTTTTATCGTTCACAAACCTCAGCATTTTTGCTTTCTGATCAAAAATTAGCAAACTTCCAATGAGTTTTCCAATATTTTTTATATCACCAATAGTTAGCGTTTTTCCATGACCGATCATACTATCATCTATCTTGATAACTTTTTGGGATTTATATTGCTTAAATAACATGATTAATTTTTTGATTAAATTTTCTGGTTTTTTGACAGGATCAATGTTGCCAAAATTAATATGAAGCTTTATTGGTTCTTTTTCAACCCGTTCTTTTAATTCTTGTTTTATAATTTCATACGGAATATCAAATGAATAGCTTTTATGGTTATCAATTTTATTTTTTAGATCATTTTGATCAGAAAACTTTAACTTTCTGTTGTCTTTATCTAATATGATAACACTCCCGCACAATTTTCTAATTATTTTATCATCCACTCTTTCAGAGGATTTTAATGACTCAGCCAATTTACGAACTAGATCATTTTGTTTATCCCTATCTCTAAACTCTGAATTTGCTTTTTCACTGAATACTACATCCTTTGTGTACCTATAAAGAATTTCTTCCCTAAGCGTTTCTTTCAAGGAATCTTCGTTCGTCATTTCTAGAAAACGGTCATTTATCGTGCCTTCGCGATACTCAACACCTTTGTGTCCTTTTAACTTTTCTTTTTTAACATTTATGACGATTTTTGATAGAAAAACATGATACGTTGAGATAATATCGTGTGACATCATATTATTATAATGTGTCTCACGACGAATACAGCTAACAAGAGCCTTGGCTAACAACGACACAATTCTATTTTGAAGACAAAAATTCTCCAGCATCTCAATTAAATCGGAGTTTTTATCCTCGCAAGAATTTAATTTAAATGCTTTGTCTTTGGACTTTGTGGAAAAGATATTATCATCAACATCAATTTTTTCGATCAAATTTATCCGATCTTTGTTAAATTTCTCATCTAAAATGGCATTAGTATAAATAATAAACTTAACGTCTAGCTCATTAAAAATACCTTTAAATATAGGATCGGTAGGATCATCGAATTTTTCTCTAATTTTCAAGAAGTCAGAAAAATACTTGGCTAGATAAAATCTTCCATTGTCATTTTTTGGGTTTTTTAATTTTTCAATGGTTATTTTATGCTTTTTTGAATCTTCTACATGCTTGGCTTGCATAAAAATGATTATTGACTTCTTTTCAATAGCACCTTTCCAATATCTAATCACAACATCATCATAAGCACCTACTCCATTCATATTTAATGCCAAATAAAATTCATGTGTATCCTTGTCTCCTCTTAACTTACTCAAAATTAACAAATCAATTTCATAAAAATGCCCTTCCAAACCGCCTGTAGTTCCTGGCCTATTGTAATATTCAAATGGGCCTTTCTTTGATTTTCTCACTTGATGCCCGTCATATTGCTCACAAATGAGATTTTGTTGCAATTTTCGCTGATCTGCTGGTTGTTCATCAATAGAGACTTGTTGACTCATTATTTGCACAATTTCTTGGTAGTTCAGACGTTTGGCAATATCCATTGCATTTTCACCTTTGCTATTCTTAGCTAGATGATCTGCATTCCATTTCAATAACTCTTCAACTATTTCCTTTTTATTCTTTTCAACAGCATAAATTAATGGCGTGTTATTCTTATTGTTCTTATCAACAATATTAATCTTTACTCCATCTTGTAGAAGTGATGTCACCATTTTTAAATCACCTTTACGTATTGCTGTAAACAGTTCTCCATTTCTAGCCCTTTCTTCATCACTACTAAGCATTTCATTTTCCGTTGTAAGTGGAGTGCTTCCTGATGACGCATTACCTTCACATTTGACACTTGCATCGGCCATATTTCTAATCGTATCAATGGTTTCTGTTGGTGTCGATTTTTCTTGTCCTTACCACTTTGACGCTTGTACTGGCTCGGGAGATTTGGTTCCAAACGTAATACTTTCTTTAAGATGAAATGATTGGATTCAATGGAATATATTCAAGCACACTTTCTCTTTATAAATTCGAAGTTTTGGTGTCTATCTGGACGATTTTGACGATGATCTGACCACTTGGAACATATACAGCTCGATCTGGTTTTCTTTGACGTTATCTAATGGAATACATTTTTGTTACATTAAAATGTATGTAAAGATAATTTGAAAACAAAATTCTTCAAAAAAGAACAAAATTTAAAATAATTTTTCTATCAAGAGAGAAAAATGAAAAGTTTCCCACCTTTGAATGCTCACCAAAATCGCCGATGCCGATGATTCAATGCCAATGATTTTCAATGCCGATGATTCGCAGACTTCTTGACGAAATGCTGTAATCCTAAAAGCAACATATTTTTCATTACTTTATTATCCATGGGAGGGGAAAAAGTTGCGTCTTGTACTACTATCAACATCAGTAATGTGCGAATGGTGGATCCAATCTGGTCCAAAGTGTTCTGGAGAATGTATACTTTAGTACTACATCTAACACGTAAATTTTAAGGGATCAAAAATTTCGTTACTTTTGCGATTTTTCTACCGAAAATGAGAGAAAAATCGAATCATAATCTTTGGGATTTCTATTCAAAATTACTTTCAGAATATTGTTGCGAAAAGTTATTATTTTTTGTGTAAAAAAAAGAAAAAAATCGTTATATTTATCCACTACACCAAATTTTCATTCATTGCTTCTTTGGGTGAATGAGAATAACATTTCATTTGAATACAATTTTTTCTTGATTTCTTCGTAAAAAAAACAAGTCAACAAAATTGAAATATCCAACGTGAATAAGAATAAACTGTTCCATTATTTTCTTTGGGATTATTTTTTTTCGGTGTTGTATCACGCGAACGTGAGTAACATCATGCTGAGTGTCATTGTTAACGCGCCAAAACAGACAACTTGAGCCGTCAAAATTTTGTTTCTTATACATATGATTCGAAACAACTATACGTACATTTCATTGCGATTTTGTAATATATAAATATTTGTTGATTATTTTTGACGAAATTTACTATTATTTACTGTCTAAGACAACAAAGAAAGGCAATTTTATATGGAGATATAATAAATAATGCTTATTGTACACTCTCACACATCTGAATGGCATTAACTATGTGCCGGTTTCGATTTATATTGTGCATTTTTTTTCAAGTGTGTTGCGCTCAGTGTGCATAATACGCTCTATGATATCATCAAATACCTTTCCTTGTAGACGTTAGTTGTTCTTGTTACGTTTATGATACGATTTGTGTTGCACGAGAATATTTCAATAGATGTCTTTCGTAGCCTTGATTCAGCGAAATGAACTTTTCACAGCTATTTTCTTTTTGCAACTATTTTAATTGTGACTTCGATGAAAAAAAAAGCAAAAATAAACTTCACTATTATAGTCAGTAGGTTTAATTCATTTAAATAAATGGAAGACAGCAGATAATCGTATTACAATCTGCTCACACGATCGCTTCTTGTACAGTTATGAGAACTGACGGATGTGATTTGTCAAATGTTATCCAGTTTAAGGCGTATTCAATGCATCACTGATGTTTAAAGCTTGTATTTGTGTGTGATGATTCATAACTGATGTATTTCACAATAGTATTGATACACTGCCGATTTATTGCTACCGATAATGTCACACTGTATCCACAATTTCAAATATGAAAATAACAAGAAATAAATGCATAAGTTTACCTTAAATTCAATATAGAATAATTAAACCGGCAAATACAATGGAATGCTGTTGATAAGCAATTTGACACTTCACTGAATGGAAGTGCTTTCCAATACAACTGGCAAATATTAAGTACAAATTCAAATATTAATTAAAGTGTGTACTTAACCAAATGCTTAAAGCTCAAATTAACTTTGGGCATTTCTTCAAAAGTAAATCAATGAATGTAAATTTATAGGCACGATAAAATATAAAACTACATTATTTATGTTTTGGATGTAAGAAACATGCTGATATTCTGATGAAACTTTATATAAATTAAATGAACTGAACTTAAAATGACGACATTTTCACAATAAAGATCATAAACACGCGCTCTCGAATAGTAATGTCTACACATATAATATAAATAATAAACACCATATCTCACAACGTTTTCGTGCTTTGGATCTTAAAAGGAAACATTTTAAAGGCAGACATTTCGAAGATCGTTCAAAGTTTCAGTTCTCATACCTCTTCTATGTACAAATGAAAATCGGAGATGGAAGAAAAAAGGCTTTTTTCTTAAGAAAACTAATATTTTGTTTGAAAACATCGTTGAATCGAACTTTCTTCAATCTTCTACCTAAAGCAACATTGAATTTAAAATTATTTGGGTGAAGTTGAAAGTGAACATCAGAGCTCTCAACGGGTCACAAATTTGTTCACTTGACATTGCCATATGCGATGCTTTGTTACTCGGAAAAACAGTCGCTAACATTTTACTCCAGCGACTGGATACTGAAATATAAGAAGCCTAATAACAAAAATTGCGAATATATCAACGAGTAAATAAAAAAATACTCATTTCGGTTGCCGTTGTACTTGAAAGTTTTAGTTTAAACAACAAATATACTTTGATACAAATCGATCTTCAAATAAATTTCGATTGCCTTCTGCACCTGTCTGAAAATACGATCATGTGTATTTCAAATGAATTAACCCAATAAACAAATTCCATGATTCATGTTTTTTTTTTTCATTTCATGTTTTCATTAGATTCGAATAGAATTTACCATTTTCTTCCATTTTTAAAAAAAATGTGATCTTTTTCTATTTGAGTATGACTGTTATGATCTTAAAAATACGACGCATAATTTCTATTGAATAATTCAAAAGACATGTGTCGTTGTGGTGTAAAAATGATTTGCAAAAAAATGCTTGCGCACACTTTCACGGTTAGTGCTTATTTATTTGTAAAACTTGGCAAAAGCGATATGACGAATGGGTGTATCGTTGACAAAGTCAAATGATATGGCAGCGCTAAGGTCAACGCGATAAAATAAATAAAAAATATATGAAAAAATAGCGATTCGTATAATAAATTCGGGGAATATTACCCACCGGGGGCAATTCAAATTTGAATAATAATGCATAGCTTGAAAAATCAAACGATTGTATTATTA